AATCGCGGCTCCGATCGATCCTTTTGTACTCCTTCCTCGAGATCCCGGCTGAGCACTTCCGGTCTAATCTCCAGAGGGACCCCGCCGGCCTCCCCACCGCCCTCCGCCCTTTTTCAAACGGAAACGCGATTCGAGAGAGTCCTCTCGCAGCTCTTTCTTGCACCCCCGGGGTTTCTCTCGAATCGGTAACCTGTTGCGCTCATGCGCGCAAAAATCCACCTACGAACACCGGAAGTAGGGGTGTCTTACGTCTCGTAGCTTACGTCCTGCCGAGTCGCCTTTTCTCTCGGCTTCCGCGACGCATTTTCCCTTCTTTTCCACATCCCGTTTATTCCGCAACAATTCCTTACATAATGAAATTAGAAATTAATTTATCACACGCTGAATATAATTATAAAAGCTATGGGGCAAAAATCGCCGGGGTAAAAATTAAATTCGACCGGAACCCGGCCCTACCGGAAGTACCTCCAGTCCATTTTAACGGGTCAGCTTTCCCTTAAAAATTCACAGGATACTTCCTTACCTCCTTCTTCCACGTCCTAAGTGCTCCCAAATCGGTGACCTGTTGCATCGCCTACGTCCATCCACGTCCGCGGTCGTTCCGCGGCTCGAGAAACGCACCCTGCGAATTCGCCATTTCCTTCTCGACGTCTGCGGCGACCGGCGTCACGTAGCCGTACTTATCAGTCCCCGTTATCACAGGATTTTCCAAATCCTTTCCCTCTAAGATGATCAACCCACTTCCCCATATAAAATTGACAAGGTTTCCTACATTAAATAAATAAAAAAAAATAAAAAGCGATCTAAAATTCCGTCGTTCAGCCAAGAGTCTCCTCACCCCTGAAAATCGATTTATCGACGATATCGATACCGCCATCCCGAATTCGGGTGTACCCGCGGACTCGTGTCGATCGTCAGAAACATATTATTCCATCGCAAACACGGAATATCCTATTTGATATCGGACGCGTGCATAATCGGCGACACGCGTGGATAAATACGAATTAGCAAATCGTATTTATCGGCGCTTTTTGCCTGTTCGTCCGCCCAGGGTGAGGAAGGGAGATAGAGAGGGGCAGTAAGAGAGGACGGGGTAGAGAGATGACGACGCGATACGCGCGTTCCCACGCGGAGGCTCGCGCGTGGCGCTAGCGCTCGCATAATTTTCCCTTTTTCCCGCGCGGCGTCTCTCCCTCTCTCTCTCTCGAGCCAAAAATTTCATGCGAACAGCGTCACCAGCAGCCGTTATTGAGCGTCCTCCCCGGAGATTTGCATGTCGCGAAACGCCCGCTAGCCGAGCTCGCGCTTTCGAGTATCGATCCTCCGCCAGGGAGGCCCCGACGCTCTTTCGCGAGTCCGAGCGCCCTCGACACCCCCCAAGGCTGGGAGGAAATAAATTTCCCTCGTACTCATTAAGGGATGATAATCTCCAAGAATCCTGCCAAACATACCCGAGGTCCCTCTCCATGCAACGATTCGAAAATCGGTCATTTTGAATAGATCCGAATGAATGAAATTTGATGCCTTCAAGGTAAATTCGAAAATTTGGAATTTCTTTCTTTTTTTCTAATTAGCTTCGCCATTTGTTAAATTAATTTCAGGATCCTTGTTAAAAGTGCAGTGGAAAAGTACTGTAGACATTTTTTAGACGGGGCGTGGGTCGTCTGTAATAATTGACTGAAAGGTCGGGCTTCGAGTAATAGGCTTTTCAATGAATTATTACAGGTGAATTATGAGAAGTGGAGAAATATTGTAAAGGACTTTTCGATGTCAATTTTAATGGGGATGGTCATGCGGAGATCGTGGATCGGGATTTATGGTGGTATTTGCTGCAATGACGAATTTGATAACGCGGTATTTAGAGGGGCGTGGGGAAGAATGGTCTCCGGATAGGAAAGAGCACTCTCGCCGGAGCGACGCCGACGCCGACGCCGACGCTCGTCGGGCGCAAATCGGCGATCGAGTCGTCGGGAGCCGCGGGGAAATCGTTGACCGTCTTTGCGACGGAGACTTCCCCTTTCCCGCTGAAAGGAAGACCTTTCAACGGCGACGGCGCAAAGAACGATCTCCGCCTTTGTGCCCAGGTATAACCTCTTTGCGCGGATGAAGCTCCGGGTATATTCTCGCCATGCCGACGAGTTTTCCCATCAAAGGAAACTAATTACGTAGGTACCTGTCTGCTTTACTTCGCAGGAGGTGCAAGACCGACCCGGCCGGCAAGGGAAAGGCGGAATCGGACGCGGTGATTCCGCGCGTCTTTCCCACCGAGGGCGGAAGCGAAGCGCGGGCGCGATAAGAGGATATCAGGGGAAGAACTGGACACCGTGGGCCGCTTGAATCCCCAAGAAAGACTGTATTTTATATTTAAAAATTAAAAAAAAAAAATCACTAAGAACCCGACATGTCTTCGGGACATCTTTCCTAGGGGGTGATAACTCCCGATGAATGCGAGAAGGTCCAGGGGGGTCGCGAAAGAGCAGTCGGAAAAACGGAGGGAAAGTACAGGGCAACGAGCTCACTCGACCGGCTCATGGGCGCAATTAACTCGGCGGGGTAATTTATTGATCTAACGAAGTACGGTGAATTAACATTCTCCGTACGTCGAGGAGTAATTAGGTTACGATTAATTAATTTCGTTCCCTTGACTCCCTTTAAACCCGGGCCATTTGGTCGCGTCCTTGTCGCGGAATAACCGCTCGGCAGTTTGCTTCGCGCGCGTTAAGTGTGACAATAAATTGTCTCTTGCGTCGAGTAATAATAGTTTGACGGTGACGCGAATCACGCGATTGGGCAATCGATCGAGAACGAAGGACGAAGGAAAATCTGTCGGGAAAATTCGCCCTCCGATCCGGCTCCCCGGTGCATTCGATGAAGTTGAAGTGCGATGGGGGTTGAGGAGTTGATTACCCTCTTCGTGAAGGGTCGGTCGCAGGAGGGGAAAAAAAAAAAAAAAGAATTTCCGAGGGAAAGTAGAGGGAGAGAAAGTAATTTTCGTTCGGCTGGTTCGCCATCTCTTCAAAATCTTCATCTCTGACCAGCTGATAATGCGGCTAATTTATTAACACCCTCGAATATAGAAAAAAAAAATCCCCCCTCGCGAGCTCCTTTCCTCAAATTCCTCCCTTCGGTAATTAGAACCGAATTCCATTAAAATGCTAATTTGTTGCCTCGTTAGGATATTTTCAATTCATAAAATAGTCACGGACTAATCGTCTCAGGCAATTTTGCGGCTAATTGGGCAATTAGCTTTATGGGTTCAATTTGAATGTCCATTTTCATAAGTCTCCGCGTTAGCACTTACTAAATTCCTGACCAGCGGATGAGATTCGTCGACATGTTTCGCAATTAACGTGAAAATTATCCCATTAGCTGCTTCGGAAAAGCTAAAAAACTTTGACTTAGCTCCTCGCCGAGAGGAAAGGAAATATGTATAAGACTCGTCCTCGTTTTTCCTAGATTTCGGATCCATTTAAGTCATTCCTGCAAATTAATCCGCTATTATTTCATACCTCGCAAGAATCTCAAAACGACTAGCTTTGCTTTGACAAGACCCTGTTCGTTTTCTTTAGAGAGATAGTTCTAATCAGGCCTGAAGAGAGACCGATTAATCGACCGCCTCCGAACAGAGAGATGTAAAAGGGACTAATTGATCCTCGTTGGCTCTCGGAGGGGTTAAAATCTCACTCCGACGAGTTGAATGGGATTGCAAGGCTTTGAGGATTGTCAAAAGGATTATTATTGCTGGCGAAAAACTGAGAGGGAGAAAGGGGAAATTACAGAGGGGGCAATCGTTCCGCGTAAATCACTCTACGCCCTCAATTTATCAATTTTAATACGCGATCCGAAAACCACGCATACACGATCTGGAAAAATGCACGTTAAATGCTGATTTTTTTTTTTTCTTCCCGTGAACTAGAAAATATTACAAATATTAGGAATATTGAGAAATATTATTGTAAGTCGGGATAAGCTTCGTTACAATGGACACTTCAAAGGACCGATCGATTCGCCGATCGAGGACGAAGGATGGGAAAGGTTCGATTTTGCGTCCCACACCACGAGGGGAAATGATTCACCTCATCGGGTTAGACGGGGTTGAAGGGCACCGAGGGTTGTGGAGGGACTTTTTTTTTTTCTTCCCGAAGGGAGTACCGCGATGACGCAAACTCGTTTCATCGTTGTGCGAGAGGCATTACTTTCAGGCGGCGTGGCAGCAGAACAAGGTGTCGAGGCGAGCGAACCCATTGGACCCTGAAAAGGTTCTCGTTGGTGGTTATATTAAGCGGTCCCTGGCTGGTATTAAGGAAAGGACTCCGCGGAGGGGAAAATTTTTCCCTTCAAAAGGCGTCCAAGAGCCCCTTAGGCGGGGATTTCGGCCGGATGTGAAACTCCACCCCGCTGAATATTTTCCGAACTGGACCCATCGGGCACCTCTTCGAACCATACAATATCAATCTCCGTTTAGTAAATCAACGCTACATGTACAAATGGGAATGAAAAAAACATGGATATTAATAACAGACTCGGCTTTGATATAATTCCAGAAATTAGGGAGGATCGAGATCGATCGTTGATCTTTTTTAGGGGGTAGAATTGTCGCGAGGGATTCGATTATCCGGGTAAAAAGAAGTGCCAATTCGATCGGTTAAATCCGCCATGCACCGGAGGTATCGGAAAGCCAGGTGAACCGGGGCATAAAAGTAACCCACGTGCCGAAATCACATCTCGATCGTCCCCTCGCAGGGAGGGCGCACATCTCGGGAGTTATAAACCCGATTCGCGGGGGGTCAATACGCATCAATCGAGAGTGCCTGGTGCACTCGATGCGCCTCTTCCCGGGCACAATATAAACGGGAAGGGGGCCCTAGTTCGAGGACGCCGGGGGTCCCCGACGTCCTCTCCCGGGAGGCAATCCCTATAAAGGCGGACGTTATTACCTCGAGAGCCGCCCCTTCGGGGTCATCCGGGAGCGACTAAAGCCCGGGATATGATTTTTGCAGAGGGCCTGGACGGCGGCGGCAAAGTGTCGAAGCGGGCGAAGCCTCTGGACCCTGAAGAGGACGATTACTACTACGACGAGGTGGACGAGAGGAACAATCCGACGAACGAGGCTCCCGTCGTGCCCCCGGGATTCCTGAGCCCGTCCGTGAGGGAGTACCTCGATCTCGGTAAATCGATACCCGGTACGTAAACAAGATCATCTCGGCTAAGTTCCCTTTGAGAGACCGGCGCACAGAGGAGAGGTGTGCGGAACCCGAGGAGCCTCTCCTCCTCGGCCGGCGTCTTCTCCCGAGGGAGCGTCGCTCCCTCGCGGCATTCTCCGGCGGCATGCCCTGACTCTTTTGAAATCGAGCGCCGACTCACCCCCAGGCGATATGCGGCTCTCTGCCCGCGAGTCAAATAAGAATTCGAGAACTCGAAAGAATGCCCCCCACGTGCGAGCGACACGCCGCTCCCGATATACACCCTGCAAGAGGATCCCGAGGGATTCCTAGACGCAACGTGACCACCGAGACCCACCTGCCGGCAGCCCGTAAACGATACACCTGGCGGGCACCGAACGCCCCTCTCAAAGGGGATGATAACGCACGAAAGTGATACCGCGCACCCTTTGCACCGGAGCGCGGCCGGTTTTGAGAAAACTTATCTGGATATCTTTTAGATGCATCGAAACGATTGGCATAAATCAGCTTTTTTTCAATATTATTTATGATTAACAATAAATTCGGTGATTTTTTTAAATATTCGTGGCGAAGGTTTTACGCTGGAGACGACGATCGATTTTTCAAAGGGGATGATAACGCGCATCCTTTGCACCAGAGTGGGCCCGGTTTCAAGAGAAATTATTTTGGGAAAATTTCTTTATCTTTTGGATGCGTTGGATAATAACGAAAATGATACTACGGATCTCTTGCAGAAAAGAGGTCTAGTCGGTTCCGGAAATGAACTGTAACGAGATATCTTTTACAGCAAAGCGATTTGAATAATTAATAGGACTCCTCCGATATCGCAATTAGCATTCATAATTGTTAATCATAAATTCGGGAATAATTTATTGCACGGATCGTGACCTTTTTTATTTTAATTTCCATTTGAAACAGCGGAAAATGAGCTTGCAGGATTAGGGGGGCGAGTATGTATATGATTGTAGAGATGGTCGAATAATCATGCCAAAAATGCGGTAGTGCCGAAACGGTGGATAATTAACGCTCGTGGGATTATATGAATAACGCGGGGACGTATTAGTAACGGTATTATTTCTCTGGGCAATGATTTGCATTCCGGGCACGTAATTACTTCGGCGACTGTGTCGCCCCTCTTTATTAAACCGACGACGAAAATTTGCATTTACAAAAGGAATCGCATTAATTGCTTGTTTGCGCGAGGACAATTCATGCGTGGTTATTGCTTCCGTGTTCATCGACGGGATGACTCCCCGGATGTTCATCGTCGTGTCTTTTGTGCACCCTCAGGGTGCAGTGGTACTGTCGAAGTCATATACTTCTTCCGATTAAAAAAATAAATAAATAAATAAATAAATAAAAATAAAAGGTAGAGGTGAATTTCTTATTTATTCCCGAGGATAAGACTCTGTAAGAGCCATTCAAGCGAGTGCCACGGAAAATCTGCAATATTACGCAGCCGGAGGCACAAACGACTCGGATGTAAGAGAAGAGCGAAAAGAAAGATAAAGGGAGATCCAAGAACCGAGATTTCGCCTTCCAGCTGTGAATATCGTTATCAGAAAACCGCCTTATCACAGCGCGAAACGAAGGACATCGCACAGGGCGAAAGAATGTACAATCAATTAAATATCAACCGATAAATATTAATACGCATCTCGCTATAAAGGTATTTCGTATTATTCATATTTTTATACAGTCTGGCCTGTTGGCCACGGCGATACAAATATTATTCCAGTCCATTTAACGCGGTCGGCCATGTTTTAGTACCATAAAGAGCCAGGATTGGAGAGTATTTATTTTTCGCTCCCTTTTCCGATTTTACCTACGCGCTGATTCGATTCAGGACGGTGTGCAAACGCTCGTGCAAACAGTTACTACCGTATACAGATTTAACTCTGTAGGGAGACAAGTGCGCATAGTTGTAGATTTCCGAATTCGTTATGCCTTCCACGTGCACCGCGAACAATTGGACGAGCCTCCTATTACCCGCGGACGATACCAAAATATCCCCTAAAAAGATCAGCCACCGAATTTCACCGACCGACGGAGTACTTTCTCTCAATTTCTAAATTCACCTGTACAAGCCTCATTAAAATCCTCGCCCCGATTGTCATCGTAACTCTTAATAAAAAGACGTATAAAATATTTCCCCCCGTACCGGAAGTTGCGGTTTACCCAGGCAGTAAAAATCCGCAAAGCAGGGTGTCCCGTCGCGGGGTATTTCGTTGCCCCCGATGCAAGGGGTGGTCTTCGAGCCCCGAAGAAGAGGCGAGATCGCAGGACACGCAAGGGGGTTCAAAGCGCCCCCCGTCGGAGGACCTCTCGCGCCATCGCCCCCTTGAGTGGGTTCGGATTCTTCGCCCCCGTCCCCGCCCCTCCAGGGGATGGTCCACGAGGGTGCGTGGTTTCTCGCGCCCTTGGAAATGGGCCGGAAATGGAGTCGACGAAGGAAGAGAATCGAAGAGGGGGCGAGTTAGCCGTCGGGGGGAGGGTGGGACGAGTGCGGCGTCGCCGAGGATGACGAGGACGACGCCGGTGGCGGCGGCGGCGGCGGCGACGAAGGGGATGCATTGAATCAATATGGCAGCGTAAACTTATCTCATTGACTTAACGGTTCTCAATCTCCCTCGAAGGGTCGCGCAGCTCGCGGCACCGGGTATAGGATAATGAAATACCGGGACCCGGATAACCCCTCCACCCCGGGAGCCCAGCCGGGCTCCGGGAGGGCACCCGAGGAGACTCCGGACCGGAGGATCCCTCTCTTCGATCCCACCCGGAACCTCGGCTTCCACCCCTCGCCTCTTGTCTCCCTCTGTCTCGCTCCACCCCGTGTTTCTCTGTATACGTATACATACGTATATCGGCCCGGGGTATATACGTATATCCGCGTATACACGGTTAAACCTAACCTCGTCTACGCGCTCGGCGGCTCGCCGTGGCACTAGCGCTCGTCCGTTCCGTGCGCTCGACTGATTTTATGATGATGGCTCGGCGGAAATGTAAAAGAGAGCTCGGGGCAGTCCCGGCCAGCTCGGTCCGGGCGCGGTCCTTCATTCGCCAAACATGAGGATAGATTTTCATGGGGCGATAGCTCGGACTCGACCCGAGGTCCGGCCAAGTTTCGCCCCCCACCGATACCGCCCGGCCGAGACGGCCGCCGCGGCCGACCGCCGCGACCGCGCCGCGAGGGGATTCCTGATTTGTTTTCCACCCTCGCTCGCCGCGGGCGCTCCGAGGAGACTCCCGGTGGCCGGTGATTGCCCCGAGGTTTGCCGACCGATTTCAGCCGGACCGATCGGAAAACGGGATGACGTCGACCGAGGGACTCCCCGGTCCCGGCTCGATCTCCGGCCCCAACCCTTCGACCCCTTCCCAGCAAAATAACCAAGAGACACTCCCCGCATCCCCCTAAAAAAGGCTTTTCCAAACCCACCCGCGATCAGACCCCTGCCAACACCCACGATAAAATCATCAAAACCATAACCCCCTACAACCCCGAAATCATTCCGAATCCCAATCTCCAACGATTCCACGGAGTAACAACCTAACCTAAATTCGATCCTGCACCCTTGAAATTCAGAAACCACCCTCTGACATATTCGATCATCTAGGTCTCACGGTGAAGTTAACATCCATCATATTTGGAGATAACCGCTGAAACCCGGCAAAGAAACGCGAGGTAGGCCCAGTAGCCAGGAGAAATCCCCAATTAAGCGTCCCCCCGGGCGCGGAAATTCCATTTCCACGCCTTTCCAAATTCGGCGAGATCACGGAACACCCCCATACGGAGACGAGACGCCCGGGAGCATCTCGTCGTCGTCGGGGCCCAGGCACGCATCGTGCCCGGGTGACAAGTTCCGAACTGCGGGGGAGCGCGACAGTGCGGAGGGTGCGGAGGGCACGCGCGTCCGCAGGTGCGCGAGCGTCGGGGGAGAGGGAGGAGGGGGAGCCGGGGGGCTGCGTGGGGGTTCGCACCCCCGCGACGGGAGCCGAGGTGCCGCGGCTGTCGCCCAATGAGATTCGCGCGCGGAGGCATCGCACCGGTGCAAAGTTGTTTAGACAGGCCTCCCCGGTCGGGGGGAGGGGTAGGCGGGGTACAGGGGTGGTTCGCGAGCACCCCGTTATAATTCGCGAGGCGCCCGAGAAGCTGCGATTCCGACGCCGCGCGTCGGCTCGGCTTTGTCTTCGCCGATTCCTCCGAAAGAGCGGATCGGAGAGGGCGCGACGAGAGGAGAGTTGGGGGTGGNGGGCAAGAGGGAGGGGATCGGTCCGCGGGGGGCACGGCGAGGATTTAACGGGACCGGATGATAATAATAAGAGCAATGACGGAGGGGAGGGGGCGATCGGGACAGAAGGGGTGGACAGAGAGGTGTCTATTATTGCTGCGAGTTGTTAAGAGCAGCGCGTACAGGGAGAGGAAAAGGGGGCGACGAGGGGGGGGAACGGGCACTAATTTGCGAAGGAGGTTCGGTCATTTATTTCGCTTTGAAAATCCGCGATCGAAAGGCCTTTTGTCGGGGCTTCCGCGCGCTTTAATTCCGTGAAGAGGTTCCCGAAAGGAAATTTTCGAGGGGCGGCAGGGGGAGGGGAGGGCGCCTCGGCGCGTCCGGGCGGACGGGCATCGCGGGCGGAAAGCGCACCTCAAAGAGGGCGTCCCTTTTCGTTCGCCGATGCCGGGCCTATAGTAACGGCAGGTCGCGCATAATTGATGCGTCTGTGGCCGACGCAAAGCCTGCCTTGGCAAACATCCGAGATGATTAACCCTTTGCGAGGTGAGATGTAATTACCTGTCGACTTATACGAGAGAGCGAGAGAGGGGGGGCCACCCACCCACCCCGTGCTATCTCGAGATAACGCGATCGCTAATTTCAAGTTCCGCGGGAACTTTGACTCCCTCGGCCTGACGCACGCGAGTACAGAGGGAACCTGACGTGGGGGGGCAGGGAACGGGACGCTCCATCAGGATGCAGGTCGCGGGATGCAAGACTTGGAAATCCAGGATATGGGGTAGGAGTCTAGAGACGGAAAATAAGGTCCTTCGGACATTTATTCCCGATTAGGGGCGACGCCCTGAGATGGGGTAAATCTGGGAAACCGACACTTGGATGCACACTATGTCTCTTTGGTTTATCTTCAATGGTTTTCTTTTTTTTTTTAATTTTTATTTGGAAGGTGATTTTTCCCAAGGGAGCGACACTTCCCGGTCTCGATGTTACTCCGTGATGCGCTCTTTGATCTAGATTCATATTAAAAAAAAATATGTGTGTGGAGATGAGAGGAGATGGCGCAGAATTCGTCTGGACCGTCTCGCGGAGGACGCGAAGACGCGGACTGCCCTGGCCTCGAAACCCATATTTCGAGATGAACGAAATGGAATGAATGGAGGAGAGGCGGTAAATCGCGGCATCGGAGATCCGCGAAAAAGAAAAGGAACGGTTCGCGATCGCTATCGCACTAATTCGAGAATCGAAAATGACTTCGCCCTTCGTTTTAAGAGAGCGCGCTTCAAGGCAGCGCCACTCGAGCAGGCGGTGGATCAATTTGCATTCAACCTGACCTCGTGTTAAAAAAGGTCCGGGCATATTTAAGTAAAAACCGAGTTTACCTGAAACGCCTCCCGGGGAGATGCGACAGACCCTGACCTCGAAACACAGATTCTAATTAGGCATGCGGACCATGAAGAAGGCAACCTTCCCATGCCTGAAATCTACATTATCAGTTTCAATGGGTGTGGAGTTTAAACGTCTTATTATTTTTTTTTTCTTTTTCCCCACTTTTGATAATTTAATACCGGTATCAGGGTTGATACCAAATCACGTGGATTTAACCGTGACTTAAATTACGGGATTTAAATCACCCCCGCTTTTCAATTTTATCAGGTGGAGTTTCGCGCCAAGTGCTAACACACGCATGCTATAATCTAGTCCACTTGTCATGTACGTGTACAGAGACTTCCTGGTTTAATAGGTGCGGTCCAACTGGACTCGGGCGCCTCGGAGGTTAGGAATCGAGCCAAGGAATCGACTCTACCGAGGCAGAGTCGATTAAGTTAAGGAAAACCTCTAAAACCGATCCCTCGTTCCAGGTCGACCGGGCACGGACTACCCGGTGCTGGGCAAAGTGCCCTACACGAACTTCTACTGCGACGACCAGCCCTACCCGGGGTTCTTCGCGGACGTGGAGACGCGGTGCCAGGGGTGGCACTACTGCGACATCGACGGTCGCCAGGCCACCTTCTTGTGCCCGAACGGGACGCAATTCAGCCAAGCAGTGTTCGTCTGCGACTGGTGGTTCAACGTTCGCTGCGAGCTCAGTCCGAAGCTCTACGCTATCAACAGTCGGCTCTATCAGCGACCGACGGAGAGCCCGACCAGGCCCCACCGGGTGATCACGAAGGAGTTGCTGGAGAACATCTTCGTGCGGAAGAAATGAGAGCCTCTGGCTCCGCAACCCCCTCCGAGGGCCCCATATCACCCTCGATAGCCCACCTTAACCCCCACGTTGCGACCACCCGTGGTCCTTAATCGCTGATGAGGTCGCGTCCGAAACGAGCGGACCGCCCCGGCCACGTTGACGGCGGAACCACCCCTCGAAAATAAGGAAGAGTTCCCCGGGACTCGAGGAGAACCGTTTCCTTTACGCTGATGCGGACCTACCCCTGCACCTGGGGTACGTGAGCACGCACCTAACCTCAAAACTCTTCTGGACGCCTTTTGCGTGCGGGTAGGATAAAGTACGCGGACCTTCTGCGAGGAATACCATAGGGATCCTGGTCCTTCGATGGACTTCACCATGGGAATCTGACTGGCCACGGGAAACGAGGCGATTTCGGGCGAGATTGAGGTTAGGTCTTGGTGATCTTGCTGATCTTGGCGCTCCGCGGGAATTACTTTACACTTGCGGCCGGGATTTGATTAGCCGACTATATGTAAATGAAGAATGACGTTTAGGTCGAGGGAAATTGTTTATAGGGTATCGATGTAATTATGGAGATGCGATATATCGGCAGTAGGAAGAAAATCTCGACCCTGTGGAGGGAAGATCGTTAGATCACTGCTCGACGATGGATCCTGGGACACGTCTCGTAACCGCCGTACCAAGGTCCGTATTAAGTTAATCGTTAGGCGAATAAAAAAGAAAAGGTATTCCGATGTAGATCCTCTTTGCTTTCCAATCCTTTAAGTTATATACCGATCTCCTTAGGTGTAAGGACTCAGTGCGGCGTGGCGTGAATTAATGCGGATTTATGGAAGGGTACTTTTGTAAAAGCAGAAGAGGAAGTCGAGACGAATGTTTTATGGAAATGTATGGACTGTTTTGATGTATTTTTATGGGGTTCGCAGGGGGTGGGAATTCTTGCTGTATGGAAAGGTGAGTCGCGGGGGGTCCGTTTCGAAAAATGATTGAAAAGGCGCTCGCCAAGTCGGAGGATCGACAAAGGGGACGAAGGGGAGGGACACCGGGAAATGCGCAAGGAATTCTCCTCGACGGAATTCCCGCCCGGTCTATGCGAAAACGTACGCCTCGAGGAGACGATATCGCTCGTCGTTAACGCCGTTCCGTTGCACTCTCATTGCTCTTCGCCTACCGACGACGATGAAGAAGCAACTCGGTAATTCCCACTTCGGAATTTCAGCGATGCTCCATAATATGCGCGGCTCACGTTCGCCGTGTGGATCTTAATAAAGACCTTATTTGATCGATAGAGAATTCAGAGGATCCACCGGGAATCGGTGCGCTCTATAAATTAGACCGAAAACCCCGGAAAATAAATCCTCCCGGCCGGAAGTGCACTTTTCGCCGAGGAAATCGCCCCTCTGAGTGAAATATTCACGAAATCTCGTATATCAGGATTCGACGGTAATTCGAAATGACGCACAGATAAAAAAGGAAAATTAGTTGACTGAAAGGAATACATATATAATTGCAAGAAACAGTGATTTCGCCAAGAAGAAAAATGATACCGTTGATTTAAATTTCCTTCGCTCAATCTGACGTTTCTTTGGACGCACTTGATGGCAGGATTTTCTTATCCAGGATATTTCTTTGAGTGAAGCTTTGTTTTAAATAAATCCTGGATCCTGTGATCTAGTTTGCTCAAAATATGTAATTGTGAAAGATATTCCCTTTCCGGGATTTATGAGAAAAAATTGTTGGAAAGTTATGGGTTGAACGTTACTTACGGGGGTGTAGCGATAAGGGAGGATCTACGGGAAATGTACGTGCAGGATCCTCGAATTTAAGACCGGGTCCTTTGGTCGAAAATGTGGAAACGTTTCGAAACAGCAGCCACCTCGACGCCCGCGGGCTCCACTCAAATTTCCGTCAGCCCTATCGGCCTTGTCAGCGATCTAGACCGACGGAAGAGGGAGCTTTTAAAAAGTTTAATTCCGAGATTAAAAAACTTCTCGAGCGACTATGCGGCAGCTGGCGACTCGTTTTACGTTCTCTCACTCCGGGTCTCGACGCGACTTCCCCTCGGTGGCCTTTTCCGGATTTCTCCGGGTCGAGCTCGTAACCCGGAGAAGAACTGAGAAAAAAATCCTCTCCTTTGACATTTAAACCGTTAAATGAATAACTTCGCTCGGAAGCGAGGTGATCGCCCAGGCACCCGGTGTCCGACAACCCCCACAGCCCGAGAAGCTCCTACCTCCACGAAATATTGGAGCACGAATTATAATATTCGCTCGATAATTCACGTGACCGATCAAAGTCATTTCTTGTCTGGGAGCGGAGATAAAATCACCCCTTCTTGTTCTTAGAAATTGAATCTCGTACCTCATTATGCATCGCCTGAAGTTTAAATCGAGCATCGAATAAAATCATCCCTTTCAGTTCTTAAAAATTGAGCCGCTTGCAAAATTATTATTTATCATTTGAATTTAAACCGAGTATCGAGTAAAATCATCCCTTGTTCTGAAAAATGGAACGGCGCGCAAAATTATTATTCATCGTTTGAATTTAAATCGAGCCTCGAGGAGGCTCGACAAAGGCGTGCTCGGAGATCCCATGGCTCGCGGAGCCATAAACAAAGTCGAAATCCTTTTCTCGTAGGAATTCTTCTAGACCCCCCGCAGCCCAGGAATCCCGCGGGTCCATCACCCGGGGGCACTCGGGATACCCTTCGATTTCAGGCGAAATCCCGAAAAATTCTGCCGGCGAGCTCTCCGGCATCCTCGAGCGCCTCAGGTGCCCATTGCTCGAGACCGACCTGGCCTTATCCGCGGCGTAAACGAAAACGTTTATCCAAAATAGCCATAAATTCTGATCGGTCGAGCGGACCGAGACGAGGGGAGGAGGATGACGAGGTTACCCAAGGGGGTCCGCGGGTGATAGAAGCGCCCGGGCGGAAAGGAGGGCGTAAGAATCCATCAGAAAACCGAGTAATCAGGTGGAGCCCGACTATTCGCAAACGGTACACTTCCGGGGATCCAATTTCGCGGTGAACCGGCGATTTTTCCCCGGTATCCGGCACCGCTGCGGTCATTTTTACCTCCGTCGCCTTATCATTCGCCGAGCAGGAGCAACGATAACGCGCCTAGGGCCGACCACGTGGGTGTCTCGAGTTTTTTTCTTTTCCTCACAAAAGAATCCTCGCGGTCCAGGGTGTAGCGAAAAAGAAACAGCGGATTAAGTAACGCGATTCCCTGGAGGTACCGGCTGATGGGTTATCGAGACTGATAACGACCCCAATATGACTCAGAATGATTAGGAATTATTTTCTCCTGACTTTCTTCAAGTTTTCAGGTCTTTTGGATTAGGACATTTCTTGGTGAGATGGTAGAGTGAAGGGCGTAAAAGAGTGGAACTCTTTTGATGAAGTGATAAGTGGGAAATTGGACGATAAGGAGAGGCCAGGATAGGATATCATCGCGAAAAGCGTTCTACGAGTTCGCGTTCTAGGAGGGACCGGTACTTTCGAATCGCCCTTTTTTAATCACTGCGCCGTACTTTTTCCCTTTTATCATTTGACATATTTTTCAGAACCGCATGGACGACCCCCGCGATGCCGGAGGCGCGGCCGCAATTCCGATTGCGCATCGGGAACCGGAAGGTCCAAGCTTTCTCGATTACACCGAGCCTCGTGGCTAGGCTGGTGATCATTGTTCGTGTTCCAGGAAAGTACGGGGCACAAAAAGCTGCGGTAACGGGGACCTCGGAAACGCAGAAGAACGCCGATAATGCCGGATAAGAGCGGAGACAGCTGCGGTAATCTCTGTAGCGGTGGGAATGCCCGAAGAGGCAGGAAAACAAATTATCAGTCCTGATTTAAAATCCCCACTCCTCTCACTCTATCAAAATACAAAGGCGCGTTTCGGTAAAAAAAAAAAAAAAAAGCGGAAATAGAAAAAAAATCCTCGAAGTAAATCCCCCGGAATCTGAAAATCCTGTCAAAGTCTCGTGCTCCGTTCGTCGCTCGGCATCTTTCCTTTCTTTGGCCTTACTTTCGAAAGGATGCAAGAAAAGCCGTCGCGGCGCCGATCATGGGTCGGAAAATTGAATGCTCTCCAATTCGCCCGGATTTAGAAGACCTCTCCCTCTCATACTATCGAAATACAAACGGCGGATCTTGGTTAAAGATAGCCAAAATAAAAGAAAAGCCCTCGAATGGATCCTCCAGGTCCCGAAGACCGCGTCCTCCGTTCGGCGCCTGCCATCCCGCGTTCGCCAGGATGCAGAGAAGGCGTCGCGGCGCCGATCCCGGGTCGGAAATCGGAAAATCGAATGCTCCCCAATTCGCCGTTTCCCGTGTCGAGGCCGGTCTGTCGTCGACAGGAACGTCGGGGGGGCGAATAAAGCGCGAAACGGAAGGTTCCCGACGCCGGGCGTCGGCATCCGCGAGGCTGGCCTCTCTCTGGAAATCGAAGCTCCGGAAAAGAGCAAGGCATCCCGACGCCCGGCGAATTTAATTGCCGGGTCGGCGAGCGAGTGCTCTCGCCGAGGAAAGGCGTTGCGGCCGTTCCGCAGCGCGGAGCAGGGACGGGGGGAAAGAGATAGTCCAGGAACCCGGTGACGAGGAGTGTCTGCTTTATCGGTCCTCGGCAAAGTTCGAAAGTAATCCGCTTAGTTGGCTGCAAGACCGACAGACAGCGACTCCGGACAGAGTTTGGCCAAGTAGGCTCGCGCTTCCTTACCGATCTTTCGGCGAAGGACCAGGACTTGGAAAGATCCGGAAGACTTGGAAAGATCCGGGAGCCTTCCAAGGATCGGGGACGCTGAAGGCAGCCCCATGTAAACTAGGAGTGAAGACTTAACCTCTCTTAATGGCCGGAGACTTGCTGTATAAAATGAACCCCTAAAAAGTCGACCTTAAGCTTCAAAGATTCATCCGGGACCGATATCGCGTTGCCGGACCCTGCTCTAATCTCTGGAACTAATCAAATGATGATAACCAAGAGAACGAGAGTCATCTCACCCTAGGGAAAAAAATTCATCGAACCGGAAAAATATTTCTTTGAGTGGCACCGACGAAATATAATAATCCTGATATGGTCAAATGACATTTTTCTCTCGGGGTGCCTGCAGAAAAGATCTCCGGATGGGCTTGGAAAGATTCAGGAGCACCAAAATGGCGTGACTAGGTGTTTCAGAAATATCGTCGTGGTATTTACTCTTGCATCGTGACAATTTTTTAGTACACTTTTTTTTTTTTAATCTTTAGGATATTATGTATTTTACTTGGGTGTTTAGTGGAACGTTACATCCGCGCGGGAATTTAACGGCCTATACGGTTAAATCCTGCAAATAGTCCAGACGATTCGGTCGCTGGGGGCCAACTTACATCCTCTTACGGGTCCTCGACGAGTCCGGCGAACTCGAGCCGTGCTACCGCCTCCGATAATCCTCGGCACTGATACGAGGTACGCGTGTGCGATAACGTGCGCGTAATCGCCCCCACGTCCGCGCGTATTCTCGGTTAGCGGATCTCGCGCTGGACCCATCCCATCTGATCTCGACTCGGTGAAAAACGTCATTCCGGGTCCATCGAGGTCCTCCGAAGCAGGATCCAAGGTACAAGAAAAATCCCTCGGGAATTTATATTCGACAATTTAAGCGCGCAAATGCTTACAAACGTCAATACAATAAATCTTGAAAATGTATAACACGTAAAAAAAAATAATAATAATAATACCAACGAAGCGGT